CCCCAAAAACCTAAAGGGAAACTTTATATGCGCACAATCAGCATAGTGTTCTTTGCATCTTCTCTACACATTAATCATACAAGCCAGTTTCCATAGACAAAATCTGGACTCATTGCTAAACATATTGTTCCTCCATATGTTTAAGTTGCCGTGCACATGTTGCCTGGCCCCACAGTGAAGGACTGTGGAAAACCTCCTGCAGGTTATTTGTCAGCTGAACATCCATAATATGAATTTTGCTCCATCATATACCAAAGATACAATAAACTCATTGTCATGCTCAAGAAACTAGATTAAGATGAGCTGAGCTTTGTGACATGGCAAATCATCCCGTAGGATGCAGCCAGCAGAAGATGGGTACACTCTGGTTATAAAGGCAGCAACACTACGGCAACACTATGGCTGTGGCATTTAAACTATGCTCAGTTGGTATTTGGCTCAAAGTGTGCCAAGAACATAATCCCCGCACATCGCATAACCACCAGCTTGACCTGTAGATACAAGACAGAATAATTCCTTTCACGTTGTTTACACCGAATTCTGACCGTACCATCTGAACAATACAGAAGGAATCAAGCCTCATCAGACCAGGTAACGATTTTCCAATCTTCTTTTTGTGAACCCCTGTGAACTGTAGCCTCTGTTCTTAACTGAGAAGAGTAGCATCTGGTGTAATCTTCAGCTGCTATAGTCCAAAAATGGATGTGTTGTTCTTTCAGAGTTGCTCTTAATTTGGTTGTAAATTTGTCAACCCTATAAATGGTTGTGTGGAAAATCCCAGCAGATCAGAAGTTTCTGAAATACCCAGATCAACCCGTCAGGCTCCGAAAACTATTTCAGGTTCAAAGTCAGTTAAATGACCTTTCTCACACATTCTGGTGCTTGATTTTAACTTCACCAGGTTTTCTTGACCATGTCTATGTATCAAAATTGAGTTGCTGCCATTTAATTGGCTGATTAGATATTTGCATCATCAAGCTATTTAACAGGTATACCTAATACACAGGTATACCTATTGTACAGCCATAGTGAGCACCACAGAGGAGTGGAATCTAGGAAAGAAGCTGTCATAAACACAAAGAGGCTGTCACATGAAATTTGTCACCTGTCATTTGTGAGAGTGTGACATTATTTCAGGAGTGTTTGAGACGTTCTTGCATGTGTTCGAAAACAAGCTCCTCCAACACTTGCTTTTAAAGGAAAGTCTCTTAGACGAAAGATTTATATTAGAGGTGACAACAAGCATTAAATGTTGTCTGCTTTGGATAAATCCAACAGCTTCACTGTAGATAAGCTTAGAAGTACAGCTTTATCCAGTTCAATTGTACAATAAAATAAAATATAATAGCAAGTAATCTGGTAAATTTACAGCAGTTAAAAAAAAGTTGAACTAAGCAAATTTCTTTTCAGTTTAGCGTGTTCGTGAAGTGATCTATATTTACTAGTGGTCTTTCACTTCCTGACTACACAGTCACACTCTCTGTCATGCTGACGTCAGCCACCGATATAAAAACCTGTAAGCGCACACAGAGCACTGGACACAATGATTCACTTGAACCTCTCCATGGCACTTATAGCATTATTTGTGGCCTTTTGGACTATAGGATGCGTTAAAAGCTGCGGTGATCAACAGACTCAGATGAGTGGACGGTGTTGTAACAAGTGTCCCCCAGGTAAAAAAAAACAAACTTTTTTAAAAATCAGATGAGTGTCTTTCAATCTAATGTTTTGATTAGTTTGATCTAATTATTACAGTAGTGATCTGTTTGATGTAATGATCAGATTATGTGTTTAAGCTGAACTTTTTCGTTCAAGAATACTGAAAAATACTGAAAGTCGCTGATTTTAACTTTTTCCTGGTTTTAAAGGCACTTATGTAGAAGAGTTTTGCTCTGACAGACAACAAACTGCCTGCAAAGCCTGTCCAGACGGACATTTCTCACAACTTCCCAACCTCTTTGACAGATGTGAAAAATGTCAGACATGTCAGCGTAAGTTGAGAGAAGCTGAGAAGGCATTTACCAGAACTAGCAAAAGATGCAATATTGTGTTGAATTCAGTGGTTTCAATTCTTGTCTGTCTACAGATTATGCTGTGAAATGTACATCAACCACAAATGCAACCTGTAGTTGTGCCGCTGGTTTCCTGTGCTCCAACAGCATCTGTTCGACTTGTGTGAAAGACAAATGCGTCACAGGAGAGAAACCAAAAAGGACAGGTAAGAATGGACATTTTGAGTTTTTACAGCTACGAGTAAAATATATATCCTGCCACAAACACTGGTTTGACTATTGCATCTGTGTAATTGTGGATATTTAGACTAATCCCTTAAAAGTCAAGACATGTTTATTATTACATGATTAAAAAAGATCCATGTGAAAGAATTTTTTTTAATTTGTAATTTTATTCCACATCTGCTGTTCAACCTGAGCCTACTGATCAGGTGAAGGAGGAGCTGTTCATAATGTCAAGAGTGTTTAGCAAAGAGTGAATGCTCAGTTCCCTTTTGTCTTAAGCTGCAGTCCTTACTATATGTCATCAGATATATACTCATAAAACCTCATCACTAGACTCATGACTGACCTCACGGCGGAAACTGACGATAAATCACAGGATCTCCAAAGCTGACAAAATCTGTCACCCTATAACCACAAATGTCCCCCCCAAAGTATCTTTCATGTTTACTGAAATAGTATTTCTTTCTTTATTCCAGTCGTCTCCTCGAATGCAAGGGTGATAGAATATTCGTATCAGTGTGAAGCCATATGTGGCGAAAAACAATATTTCGATGTGCAAACGAATGACTGCAAACCACTGACACAGTAAGATCGATTTAAACAGCTTCTGCTGCAGTGATAAGTAAAAGAAGTTGTGAACATGCCAGTGATGTAAAAGCTTTGTGCTAAACAGGTGCAGCGTGCTGGGGTTTCCTGAAAGGTTTCCAGGGAACAGGACACACGACTCAATTTGTGACAGACCCGGTATGTACACATATTCACACATTTTATTGACACAGGCTGTAATTTGTTGATTGCTCAGCATGTAACACTTGTGATACACGACAACAGAACATAGTGACAATATGCTGCAATCAAGAAACTTAACTATGATTTGACTTTTCACCAGGGCCCAAAGACGGTGGAGACTTCATTCATGTGATCCTTGGCATTAGTGTCATTTTGCTGTCTCTCAGCCTCTTTCTGTTCATGTCCTACACATGTATAAAGTACCTAAGGATTCACACAGCAAGTAAGTTCATGGAAAATCATATCAGTATGTCAAAGTGGAATCACTGGCATGGGCAGATTTCCTTCCAAAAACCACATGTGGCATTTAAACAATCAAAATAAGTATTCATTAACAGAAGAAATTGATGTGACTCAACCTAAATATCACTGCTACTGCTCTTTTTAAAAAATACCATCATAAGGGGAACTTCCCAGAATTATTTTCATATATTTTTGTGACGTATCAACAGTAGAAAAAAAAAGATTCAAATGCAGATCATCAGATAAAAGGACTCATCTAAATTCCCACGGTGGCAGTTGGCTATAGAACTTTAATGCACTACAACTACTATAGTAGTCAATTACTGGACACTATAATATTTGCCTGCAAAGTCTGTCCAGAGGGACACTTCTCACAAGTTCACAACATCTTTGACAGGAGTGAAAATGCAACTGTAGTGAACATCATGCTATAGTGATATTATGATCATCACTGTACTATATATATGCCAGTTTACTGAAAAAATATTGATTTACATTGGAATATAATCTGATAGCCTATAAGAGCAGAATCAGGATGTACTCAGTTAAATTGTGCACATGTGACACTCCTTTTCTTCTTCTTCTTTTTAGAAATCCTCTAAGGCAGATTTAGTCAAACACATAAATACAAAAATTCTGTAGCACAAATTAACAGTTGCATTAATGTAGTTTATAAAGTGGGAAGTTTTTATAAATATATCTGTTAGCTGTGCCCACTTCTTGGATAAGCAAGAGGAAAAATGGATGGATGGATGGATGGATGGATGGATGGATGGATAGATGAGTTGTGTCTTACATTAAAGACATTCAAACCCTTGTGTGCATGGTGTCCACTACAGGGCAAAAAACCCCTAAATTAAGCTGGACATGTTTTAAGTCTGGTTTGGGAATATTAAAATAACCAAACCTCTCATTAAGTTAATAATAATTAAAGGTTAGTCTTAAAAGTCACATAACTTTTTTGAAAAAAAGTTGAGCATATTGTGATAAAACCTTTAATACAGTTACAAAGCTGATGGATAGTCAAACTCTAGCCATGATGTCCTTCTGTCAAAAACGTCAAAGTCTGCTTATCTTGCTCCCATTTCTCACTATGAAAAGTGATTAAGGTTATGCCACTTATTTGTTTAAAACAAATTGCACTATAGAACATCTGTAAGGCAATGGATGGAGCTCAGTGTATTATACTTTAGTTACATGGAAAGTCACTAATTTGCAGCAACACTTTGGATCGACTCCTCTCTGATGTTTCTATTTCACAGGAGTGAAATGTTTACAATAAATCTGCCTTTGTTTGCCTAAAATTTTGCATTTTGGTGATCAAATCAGAAAACTCCTGTGACTTGGAAAATGGAAAATGAAGTGGAAGTGAAGTGGAAAATGGGGGTGGCAGCAATGAAATGTGTGATGTTTATTATCGAATGCGTAGGTGTGCAGCGAGGAAATAATGTCATATTTCAACTAAATCATTGATGGTAATAATTCTCTCCCTGCTTTAGACCACAAACCCATGCTGGCTGTTCCTACTAACATCAGTGACTTTCACCTACCAAAGGAAGAGAGCGGGCTTCAGTTTGTCCAGGATGGATCCAAGGACAGTGACATTTGTGATCTAGAAAGCATTATTTTAAGATGATATTATAACTCTGTTCAATTACAGCCAGTATGCTAAAAATTATCTTGCTTGACATCAGTGCACAGGATCTAGAAGGGAAAGTGAAAAACATTTGTAGAACAGACTTGATGATTCCTTTTGATCTTTAGCATGACTTAAGCAGAAACACATATGTATGGATTCATATTTAAAACCTCACTTTGATGTGGTAATGAGTTTATCTCAAGTCTATACTTGAAATAGATGATTTCTTGCTGAATATTCAGGGGTATTGCAGTTTGGTCTGTAACACATGTGTTCGTCCCTGAGGTGGGCCTTGCAGTTTGTGCCCTTCTGGGATGAGTTACAGATGAGCTACACAAGTTTTTTATGCTTATTATACTGCAAATAAACACACTATTGGGAATGTTTTAGGTAGGTAGAGTTAAAGAAATTCTACAAACGAAAACAAATCTGGTTGGTTTATTTTGTTTCTGTAGTATAGCAAAACAGATAAATTGTAATCAGAATAAATTAAATGGTTTTAGTCATTTTTCCTTTGTTGATCTATTATATGATTAATGAAAAATCTGCACACATTTTGTCGTTACAAGAACTGCTTTTTAAAACATTGTTAAAGTTTGTCAAAAGCTGTCTTTAACAGTCAAGCTCCAACTGGATATCTATTAATTGCAACAGCACATGTTTGTTTCTTTTATGAATATATATTTCTTTTGTAACTGCATAATGACTGTTTTATAAATATTAATTATTTTTTATATATTTTTTCTGTTATCATGCTGCAATACTAGAGTTGTGAATTGTGTTTCTAGTTTTTAAGATAATTTATTTAATATATGTTATCATAGTTCTTCATTTTCATATTGCATATATATATATATATATATATATATATATATATTAAGTGACATTATTCAATGTCTCACCTTCAGTGGCAGTGGTTGTTGTAGTGTTGCTGTGACGTGCAGGCCGGGATATGCTATAATAAACGTGTGACTGTTGTTTTTTTGTTCATAAAAAGTTCTTATTGACAAAAAGAACGCAAACAGTGGGCGTTACACAAAGGGTGCACTTCTTCTGCGTCCCTGCGGAGGCGCTGATGAGCACGTTTTGGCTGATCGGTCATATGACAGCTGCTTTTGTCCCTCTTCGCTTCCCCACTGGAAAAACGGCACATCTGACAGGGAGGGAGACGAAACAGGTACCACCATCAGGGGAGCGCTGACCACCGACCTCAAGATGCTTGCACTAATAAACCGGCTTTTGGACTGGATCAAGTCTCTGTTTTGGAAGGAGGAGATGGAGTTGACGCTGGTCGGCCTGCAGTACTCGGGGAAAACAACATTTGTAAACGTGATCGCTGTAAGTCTCCAGCTGCTACTAGCCGCCTTGCTAGGATACGGCTAACAGCCTTAACTCGCATAATTGCATAGAGGTTACTAAGCTAGAAGTGGGCTAAACACTGTCCGGTTCTCTGGGGTGTGCTTTGCTCTGTTGGTGGAGCCAGCATCCATAACACACACCGCAGTCAAGAGGAGTTGCTGTTTTATATTTAGCTGTTTAGTTTTGCAACTTACCGGCTAGTAGGATGCAGTGTTATGGTCTAAACTCCAAAGCTCAAAAGCAGTATTTGACATAGTTTTACACGAAGGAGTTAAAAGCTGTCTGGAGTGCTTTAGTTACCAGGAAGTTAACGTAATAACACGCTGACAGTAACTGTTGACAGCGGTGCAGCCAAACTGGAAAGATCACTTATGTGTCATTGTAGTACAGGTGTCCTGTGAAAGGAGATGATCTGCCAAAAAATTATTGCGAGTGTTTAAACTAATGTAAATGAATTGGGCAGTGAAAAATGTACCACAATAACTTTTTTATTTCATATATTTATTTCATCTATAACATAACATATTCTACAGGTAATTTCTTCTTCTTCTTCTTCCTTTTAAATAAATAACCCCTTTGAAAATGATCCCGACTCCAACCTTTTTACCAATATAAGCAAATATATTGCACATAAAAACATAAACACACAAATCACTTTTTGGCACGACTGGTTTCCAAAATCATGAGGACAACTAACAGAGTCTGGGTGGGTTATCTTCTTTATTTTTTATATTTATTTTCTTGTATTTATAAAAGTCAGCTTCTCAGTTTCTGTAGCATTAATGCTTAAATGTGAGATTATAAAGCAGTGTCAGATTTCCATGACACATCTAAAAAAGGGACTAGATTAACACTGCACTTAAGTCAAGCACACGTAAACAAAAGGAGAAGACATTTTTGCACTCATGTAAAAAAGACACAAAAACACAACAGCAGATTGTAGCTTCTTGGTAGGGGTGTTGGTTTCTCATGTAACTTTGCAGTTATTTCTCAAAGACTGGTGGGGCAATCCAGGTTGCCTTATTATTGCTAAAATGGGTTTCTTTCTTTTTTCCCCCTAACCTTTGGTTGTTTTAGTTTCACATATGGGGCCCTAGTGAGTGTGGCAACAGATGGCAGGCATGCCTTTTACTCCATCAGCTGTCAGATAACCAATCAGATTAAATGTATCTGGTGTAGGCAAGGTCTGATTGGTGCAGCCTTTCGTCTTAAAACGAAATAGCTTCAGATCAGTCAGGATTCATTCTGTACTTTTGTCTAATGTGCATCTTGTGTGTGTTTATGTAACAGTTGTTATCAAAAGTATGGATGAGTAATCAATTTTCAAAGAGATATGTTGCCGGGATGTTAGAGGAAGCTCTTTAAAAACATTTGTGCACTTGAGATGTTTATCTACGCTGCCAGAGTTAAAAACAAGTATGCACTTCCTCTGCTAAACCTTGGCATTCTGGTTTCTGGCTGGTGTATTTTTATGTTTTTAATCAGTTTTACTAGGTGATAGTCAGTGTATTGATGATGTATAACCTCTGCTTTCAAAAAAATTCTCAATCATTTATTTGCTACGGCCACTAATTCAATATTGGTATTCTACTATTATGTGAGCTCAGTTTTATACATTGTATATTTATGTGTTGGTCCTTTTTGTTACGCAAACACTCAGGCTACTGGAAGTTGTGAAATTTTTTATTTTTTTTTAAAGAATATATTTATTAAATTAGGTTAAAGTGAAAGTAATTCTTTCTAAAGACTCCGACTTGCACAGTTGAAACACTTAAAAGAAACACTGAATTGTGCTGAGGTTATATGCGTGCTGAAAAAAACCGATTTTTATCAGGCATTTACTGCGAAGAAGACGACATCTCTATAGAAATTTTCTTTGGTGCCCACACTTATCTGGTGATATCAAGGTTTTTGGGGTTGGAACGTACTCTTCCCCTTCCTTTACGCTGAGTAAATGAAAAAAATACCCTACCAGACACTAACAATAGAGTTCATGAGTAGTTATGCAGGGGTGGTTCCGCCTTTCTCAGTCATAAGACCGTTCACTCATTTCCACTTAGCTTTGTCAGGTGACTCTGGCGAGTCATGTGCTGTGAAATGTTCGTGCACCCGGCAGTGCAGGTTCACGAAGCATGGAGAAGGATATCTGCAGCTTGTGAACTTAAAAGGGAAATTCCACTGATTTTTCATACACAAACACATTTTTCTTTCCACTGCAGTTTACACAAAGCATTAACAAAAGGCCAATCACAAAAAACCTAAACGTTTTATTTTATTGTCATTTCAATAAAATGATTCACTCTGTTTATTTTTTTCTTTTATGATACTCAAATTAGAGTCAACTTTGAATGTTTTACTTTTTATAGTCCCTTCCTCCTTTGCAATAAAGACTCAGTGAAAACACTTTTATGATTGGATTATTCCTCATGAATGAATCAAAAACAACGTTAAACATTAAAGCTGTGGTTTTACCTTAGGATGCCGTTATGTCAGTCACGCTTTCATAAGCTACCATAAGTTATAAATTGCTTGTTAAAGGTCACTTGAAGTTTAAATGTAAAAACTTATAAACGTTTCTTAGAACTGCCACTTAATTTGTAATCCGCAGCGTGTATTTCCATGCAGCATGTTGCTATGCATTTCTTATAAGCACACAGCTTAATGTATATGACTCCTGTTTTTTTAAGGAAGTTAATCAGTGCAGCACACATGCAGTATATATGTGAGTGACCAGTTGCGCTGTTATACTTGGTTATATAGTGCAGATGTTGTAAAATGTGCATTTGAAATTACTGTTTTTTTTTTTTCTTTTAATAAATGATAAACTTGTCTTTCCTTTCAGTCTGGGCATTTCAGTGAAGATATGATTCCTACAGTCGGGTTCAACATGAGGAAGGTCACTAAAGGAAATGTCACGATCAAGGTTCAGTTTTAATCTAACTGGTAAAACAAAACCCATCCCCAGAGTGGTTTTAGGAAAAGTTATCTAAAGGTTTGGTCTTAATTCTGTAGATCTGGGATATAGGAGGGCAGCCGAGGTTCAGGAGCATGTGGGAGCGTTACTGTCGGGGAGTTAATGCAATCGTGTGAGTATCCCCGACTGCCTTTCATACCTTTTGTTTCATAAAACAAACACTATTGTTGTTAAATGATGACTAATTTTGATTTTGATCTTGTCAAGGTACATGGTTGACGCTGCAGATCGAGAAAAGGTGGAGGCATCGAGAAATGAGCTTCATAATTTATTAGACAAACCTCAGTTGCAAGGAATTCCCGTAAGTGTTCCACTTAAACCAATTTAGATATTTGTGTGATTTCAGAAGCAGTAACAGAGATCTGTGTGTGACTTCTCTGGATTACTCCACTGGAGTTTCAGAGTTCAAATTTAACCTGCCCTTTTTTAGGTTTTGGTACTGGGTAACAAAAGGGATCTCCCCACTGCACTAGACGAGAAGCAGCTCATTGAGAAAATGTAAGTGGAAAAATCTTGAAGGCATTTCAACTTTTCATCAGTGCATTGTAGGTTCTTAATATCAGACGTGTTCGCAGTTTTTCATCTCGTTTTGTTTTTTAAAGAACCGTTAGGATGCTTTTCTCATGTATATCTCTTGGTAAAGGGGAACTGTCTTTATTTATATCCAGCTGTAATCTTACTGGTTTCCTCTCCTGTCAAGTTGTCAAAAATGTGCTGAGACTCTTACTAGTACTACTTTAACGCTGTCATTTTCAAACTGTGGTGTGGACGCCCCCTGGGTTTCTTTTAGGGCCATTGCAGGGCTTGTATGGCTGACTGGTGAAAGGGGAATAAATCTGCTCTATGTACCTTTACTTTAAATTAAATTGTCTTAAAATGTAGGGATTGGTTATATATAAATAACTATTCTTTACCTTTCTAGGAATCTGTCAGCTATACAGGACAGGGAGATATGCTGTTACTCTATTTCCTGCAAAGAGAAAGACAACATTGGTAAGTTGTGGCATTATTTCTTACAATCGTTTGATTTCTTTGTTGCAGTACTAAATCTGACCCTGCATATTTCTATTTATGCATTTATTTGCAGATATCACACTTCAGTGGCTCATCCAGCACTCAAAGTCACGCAGGAGCTGAAAAAACCCAAGTTGTTTTCCAGCTGTTATTGCCCTGTTACCGTCATGTCACACCCTCATCACTCTGCAATGATGTACAGTCGTATCCTCACCTGCACTTCACCGTGCTGCACTGTTTTGCTTGTGTGACTTTTTTTTTTTTTTTGCATTTTACCTTTTTTTTAATATTCTTAAA